ATCTCATCTTTGTGAAACGTTGTTGAAATGTATAAATGTAGTGGTATATAACGTTGTATATTGATTAAACGCCCACCGCTCTACGTCCATTCGGCGAGCTAGCGGCAAATAGTACATTTGTGTTGGTGTGAATTTTTTAAGTAGCCGAGCGGAGTGAGATCATGAAACTGATCAACACCCGCGGTACATTCTGTGAAATCTGCTGATTATCATAAGAACAGCAGTCAATGGGAGATTACTCTCACTTATAACAAAACATATGCGCAGCAGTGATTCTATAGCATTGCAAAGCACATCAACATGACAAAACGTTAAAGAAATTAATGTGTTCTACATAAAAGATAACTCGAATGCAGAACACTGCGCTGATCGTTTAACGGGAGGTAACCGAAAGGCATGGGTGTTGCACATTTTTTCGGTAAACGAGAAAGACCTGGGAGTAGGGCGGAGCGGTACGTACATTTTGTCCGAAAAGGCTTTCCGGTGAAAGGAGGAAGTTTGACGACTTTGTCGTTTGTGCACCACAACTGCTATGACGGACTTTGGGACATGCGTACATTTTGCAAAAGGAGTAAACAAATGCCTACCCGAGTTAAGGAAAAACAACTTGAAACCATCAGGAATTTAAATGCATTTGAAGGTCGCGATGTTGTAAGCGTTATGGTAATAGTGTAAAGTTCAATTAGTTAAGAGAAAGCTCACGCGACAAAACGCCATGCATTGTTATATATTTACATTCGCTCCCATTGAAGCTGTGTTGCGTATACATTACCGTATACGCAGTGAGATTCCTTGGAGACCATTGTTTCCTATTGGTGACGTAATTTACATTGTGATGTCATAATGGTCACGTTGGAGATCCATCGCTGCTCGCAGGCTGTAAGCTGTTCATTTGTTTGGATTTACGCACGTTACGGAGGTTTTGAACCATTATAAAAGCAAATGTATTGGAGTTACATGTAGCTTTATTCTGAGCGTACCATCATAGTACGAAAATATGTAAATATAAGAATTGATCTTCAGTTTGACTGCGTTTACGGTAGATCTTATTTCATGTGTTTTTTTTGCATTTAACGCCGCAAATTACATATTTAGTAAAAGTTTATATCCGCACTATTTCAAACAACGGTCACGATAGTAACATTTAAAGTTAATGTAAATCCGTGGGAATGTGCTGTTTGCCTGAAATCCTGCTGAGGTAAATGAAGATAACTTGGTGGATGAAGTGTCCTGTGTCATTACAAAGTTCTCTGATGTACTAGTTGATGTCACAAGGACTACCCAGCCAGACGTTTGGGTGTTCGAAAGTTCGTGACCACGATCGCGAGGAACCGATGGCGAGTCGCCATTACACATTATGATTATGTCCCGCGATGGAGTAGCCAAGTTAGTGTGAGGCACTTGTGATACCCGTAAGTGTACTGGATTACCGTCTGAAAGTGCATAGATAGTGGTTGAATAGTTTCTCAGCGACCGAATCCGGTTTTATGTATCAACAATTGAAGCCAGTGGAATATATGCGTTTTGTTGGGGCTTCACTAGAGGAAAACCCGACCTGATATTTTTTTTGTTTTGTGTTATGATTGATTGTTGCATAGCTCGTCTGAAATAAATTCAAAAGAATTAACTCGCAGCTGTTCGTGGAACTCAAGTCCCCTGGTCACAAAATGGATAGCCAGGTTGTACCATACGTTCTGTCGGAGGATGTAAGGGGAGAATACTCCCCCCCCCCCCGCCCCTTTCAGGTAAGTTGATATTTGTGTTAAATGTAGGGGCAATATAATTAAGGCCTCGGAGATACGGGGGCCCTATAGTAATCACTCTGTCTGTCTGTCTGTCTGTCTGTCCGTCCACAAATGTTGTTCCTGGCTGATAACTTGTGTATTTATTGACCGATGTACATGAAACTTGGTCAAGATGTTCAGTTCACAAAAATACACATTAGGGTAAAAATTCAAGGTCAAAGGTCAAGGTAATTAGGTTCAAAGGTCAAGGTCAAATTTTACATCTTTTCACTGATGAACATTTTGTTATGACATTATGAAGCAAAGTTGACCAGAATTTAACAAGGAGTCAACTGACCAAAGTTCATGGTCATCAGGTCAGGGGTCAAGGTCAAATTTTGTAGCTTTTCACTGGTATACATTTTGCTATGACATTATTGAGCAAAGTTGTTCGGAATTATACAAAGACACACTGAGGTAAAAAGTCGAGGTCAAAGGTCAAGGGCATTAGATTCAAAGGTCAAGGTCAAATTTTGCACCTTTTCACTGATGAACATTTTTCTATGACATGATGAAGCAAAGTTGATCAGAATTAAACAAGGAGTCAACTGCCCAAAGGTCAAGGTCATTTGGTAAAAGGTCAAGGTTAAATTTTGTATCTTTTCAATGGTGAACATTTCGCTATGACACTTTGGAGCAATGTAGCTCAGAATTAAACAAGGAGTCAATTGACCAAAGAACAAGGTCACTGGGTCAAAGGTGAAGTTTAAATTTTGTACCTTTCCTTAATGAACATTTTGTTATGACATTATGAAGCAATGTTGTTCAGAACTTAACACAGAGTCAACTGACCTTAGGTCCAGGTTACGGGATCCAAAGGGTCAAGGTCAAGTTTTGTATTTTCACTGATGAACATTTTGTTATGAAATTAATAAGCAAAGTTGGTCGGAATTAAAGAATAAGTCAACTGACCAAAGATCAGGGTCACTGGGTTAATGGTCAAGGTCATTTGGGTCCAAAGGTCAAAGACAAGGTGGATCTCTGAATTTGACCCTGGCTCTTGATGGAGGAGGTATATAAGGTGAAATAAAACAAATCAAAGCTAACAAATGAGTATTGCACCGGTATTTGCATTTCTGTTAGCCCAGAAAACTCACATCATAGTACATATAAAATGTATATTTTGCTTCCTTGCGATTCTTTTTGAAGTCAAAATATCAAACGTCAAGCTCAGCTATATGGGCAGATTGCTTCTTGATGATTATGGGGGATATATTGCCACAAGACGGGGTCCTTGCTGACCTGTCAGTGTTTTAGTTTCCTTGTGTGCCGCTGGACGAGCCACCCCAGTCCTCGTACGCTCTGTTAACAGGCCGTCTAGTGTACGATTCGCTTTTTTGAAATTTACCCCGCGAACAATATCAATACTCCGACCTATTCTTGGTTCAAATCTAAATGTAAAAAAAATATTCTTCTTTCGCCTGTGGATTTGGAAAAAGAGCGTCATTTGTGTGATGGTTTAAATGGTTAGATAATTGCTTTATATCAAAATTCGCAATTACTGATTCATTTTACCAGTTCTGTATAACAGAACGTATTACACGGATCGACAAATTCAACAATTTCCAAATCTGATTTTTTAATCCATTGAACTGTTTAATAAAAAAAAGATCCCGGTGTGTTAATATCAAGTGGAGTTTGTGTGTAAAATCAGCTGACCGTTACACGTGACTGGTTGTCATTCATGATGTTTTCATGATGTTTTCATGATCTAATGCATGCTGTTTTGAGTTGGTAGTTTCATGTAGAGAAGAAACAGTGAGAATGTAAATATACTACCGTATACGCAGTCAAAACGAAGGTCAATCCTTAAATGCCCACTGAATAGCATTAACTTAGGGAAGATAGCGTCATAAGTCTATGTGAAAAGGCGATATCTTAGTCTGACGACATAAACCCTGTTGATGACAAGTCTGTGGAATACAGTGTTAATGAGTTTCAATGCCAGACGTTTTATGTAAAAACCCAGTCAAAGAAACATCAAATATCATATATATTTGACCTGCCAGAACCAGCCCTTAGCAAGAAAATAGTATCAGTATTGCGGTATATATTGCGGTATACTTTGTATAAGGATGGCACCAGTAGAGTTGTAAATGAACCACACAAAGTCTCAGAGTGGTGTAGGTACGAAAGCCGATTAGTATTAACGAACACAAACTATCGAGTTATTACGGGTTATGCTTAACTCGTAATTATTAGATAAATAAGGTCGTAATAACGAAATAACATATGTCGTAATAATGAGAAGACGTAACTCGTAATAACGAGATGACCCTAGTTGCAACAACGAGATACACAAAATGTAGCGTAAGTTGTTATCACGCGATAATGTGTGGTACATGTACTGGTCGTCTTTCGTAGGTAGGTGTTCTACCTAACTATTATTAGTATTAGTATAATTGGATAAAATTATTATTTCAGTAGAGTACCTACTGTAGTGCAATGATATATGATACCTTAGTTAAAGGAATTACAAGAAGATAAAATCAATCAATAATATTGATAGAACAGCCATTTGTTTGGCCAAATGAAGGAATATCATTGTTCCAAAAACGATACGATTAGTCCGAACAGTTTCTGACTGGAAAACATTCTCGTGTAATAGTTCTTAATGTTATACTTACCAGTTGTATGATGCAGTATTTTTTTGTTTCTTTTTCTTTTTCATAATGTATCGATTACTGAATTTCTAAGTTGCAATCACATGTGGTGTGTGTTTTACGTTCTTCTTACAAAACAACTCTTAAGCTGGTTTTTTTTAGAGGTTTAACAACTGAAATATAATTATTGATGCAATGATGAACAATCTGTGCTAATTCGTTTTCAACAAAAAACATGTATGCTCAGGCTGGTACAGAAGTGAATACATCGAAATAACACATGTTAGTTAAAACGATCCCCTGACATCGACTTCTGATGACGTCAGCACCTGAACAATGTTTCTGTTGAAAATAGTCACCTTGGATTTTATCTTTCGTATGTAACACATGTGTCCTCCTTTTTAATGTTTAGTCAATTAAATCCAATTGAATACGGCAGCTGTTCCAGTGTTGGTAAATTATATGGCGAAATATTGTAAGCAAACAAATCGTTTTACATTTAGCGTCTCAAAGGATGTTATTTTAACAAAACAAAAAATAAATATTACCAAAATGGGAAAATAAATCGATTTTTATTATTAATAGTATACGCTCACCTTATTTGAGGCGGCCATTGGTGACCAAGTTGAGGGTATAAACAGCTTCTTTACTTGTTTGTGGTGATATACCGCTTTTCGTTAACTTTCGACAGAAGCTTCCATCCAGCATGCTGTTCCGGAGGCTTGTGAACATTTGTTACCGTAAATTGCGATGTGTGGTGACAGTTGTACTGATTCTGATGGTGGCTGCTTGCTACGTCTATTGGGGTAATGTTAACTAATTACGTAGATTTATTCTTCATTAATAGTATGTTATGAAGAAATTTGTAAAAAAAATGCATAAGCTTTAAACTGAATTCCATATGGTTCATTGCAGAGATCATGATTTTATTACGTTCTGGTAGATTTCAAAATACCATAAGGGCATATTGATGCATTTTTAACTATAGAATTCGATTTGTATGATAAATAGTTTGGAAACATTTATCTCAAAAAGTATCCCGGAACCAGTAACAACGTACTAGCATTCATAAATAATGTGAGACATGTAAATATATTGAAAAACGAGATAATATCTTCGCAAATGTGGATCTTTTAGGCAAACAATTGTCTGATTTTTCTAGTATATGTAGCCTTGCCCCTGTTCTAGACGTTCCGTAACTTAAGGGAATGTACTAATGAACCTAACCCGGAATTTGTCCATAGAATATAGCATAGCTAATATAAGGTCAAGAAGAGTTGCATTTTATTGTAACTTAAGATTTATTCTCAATTCCATTTATGCTTTCCCACGAAAACAAAATAAAGTAATTTCCTTAAACTTAAATTATGGCATGTTCGTGAAACTTTGAGCCAGGAAGGTTTTGTCCCACAATTCCCCTGTTTAACTTTGTTGTTTGATGATTGATTCTGCAGATAATTGGTTGACATATTACCGTATCAGAACGTTTCTTCCTGGTGTCAAATGGAGCTGGTATCCTCCTAATACTGTCACATCATCAAAGGTGGTAAGTATAGTACAAGTGTACATGTACAATGCTTAATGTCTGTTCCCTTTATATTGTTACTACAACGAAACGTTTACGTAACCAACACCAGGGCCCCATATGTAATGAAACCGCTCGAAAGCTCAAGAACGGATTTTGTGCTCTAATCAATTTATTTCAAACTTGACAAAATCATGTGACATGGTCCAAAACATCCAGTCTATACGTTTACAATAGTATTCGGCTTCAAATCTCCACAGACAATCTCTATCATCTTACCAATATGTTAATCTTTATTAGTCCATAACCGAGATAAGAATTTGGTCTTGAGACCAGAATCTTGGATTGAGCGTGAGACAGGTCTCCTGAATACGGGCTCTAAATATTTCTTGTCATACATCCATGTAAGCAATAGTCTCTGCCTTTCATAAATTTTGGTGCTGAGCTGCTACACTTCCCGCAGTATATTACATATTATTATAACTATATCAGAGTGAACAAATCATCTCATCTTTCATAATTATTGCCTTTTACTAACAACTGACTTAAATATGTTTCATAAAATATTTTTTATTAAGTTTCACTTAAATTGACAGTGAATGCAAAACCAAGCTTACGAATTATAAGGTATACATTATATATTTATCTATAATAAAATCATATTTATTATTGTATTTTTTACTAGGAAAATATACATTTGTATCATTCCAACGACATCCACGAGAAGAGAAAACAACAGCTTACGTCGGCGTGCAAAACAGTCAATGACCCTCTTTCCTACATGAAAGGCGGCACCGGCTTAAACGTCAAAAGGAACTTCTTACTAGACCAAAACCACCACGTTTTCTTTTGCCGGATAGAAAAAATTGGCTCGAAGTTTATTGTTAAATTTCTTCAGAAACTTGAAGAGGTCACCATGCCAGAGACCATCAAAAAAGAAAAGAGTATCGCAGTAAAGGAATTAATCAAATCTAAACAACTTTCTTTGATATCTGAGTTGCCAAATATCAGCTTTACTGACTTGCACCGTGCTATTATGAAGTCTTTTAAATTCTTGTTTGTCAGAGAGCCTTATGGAAGACTTGTGTCGGGGTACGTGGATAAATTCCTCATGCCAAACTCATTGTTTTGGACAACGTTAGGCAAGTTAGCGTCTAAAATACTTCATAATACTGATGTTAAATGTGGACATAACCTATCGTTCCCAGATTTCATCAGGTTTGTGGTGCATACCGAACACACCGGGGAACACACCAATCGCCATTTTACATCTATGTGTGAACATTGCCGACCATGCGATATCTCGTACGATTTAATTGGTAAAATGGAAACGTTCAGAGATGATTTCTCAGTGTTACTAAACGCTTGGAATAAGATATACAATACTAACGTTACTTTTGATGACTTTGAATCAGAGACAGCTTACGAAAGAGCAATGTTTTATTCCAAGCGACTGTTCGGTATGAAATCTCGAATTGAGAAGTGTGTATCATTCTATGAAGGGATGGAACGGACTTGGATTGGCCTTCAAACACAGGGAATTGTTCCAAAGTATGCCCGATTCCCGTTTACGGAATCCGATGCACCGGGGATGTCTTTAAAACGTTTCCAGGAGTCAATAGGCATAGCCATTAAAACAGTAACTGACAAATCAGCAGTGAAATATCAGAAAACGGAAGCAGTTATAGAAGCATACAGTCTTGTTTCGATTGACGACCTCAACAATATCAGGGAATTGGTCCGACAAGACTGCCAGCTGTTTGGGTACGATGATAGCCCAGGTCATATATTTACCAACAGGACCAAGGGAAGGAAAAACAATGTTCAATATTTCAAAATGTTCAAAACATAACTTATATATAAAATCAATGCCTAGGATTTTTGTGTGTCCTACAACGCGAGGCGACATATAGGTATTACTTTGTCGTCATCATCGGTTGCGTCGTCCGAAACAAGGTTTCCGTGCGATAACCTGAGTTCCCTTGGGTTGATTGAACTCAAACTTGGTACACATATTGCATACCAATTAGCTCGGACGAACGCGCATTTTAAAAGTTTACATGCATTTTTGGTAGAGTAATGCACCTTTTATTGACAAATAAGGGCAATGTGTAGCATAAGCAAGAACCTTTTTTTATTTTTTAATCAATTCCTTTCAAATTTTGTATGGTAATGCTAGAAGCAATAATGTTCAAAACATATTACGGGTTTTGTCTGTCGAGTTTCAACTCTTCGCGTTTTGGCATATCACACTTGACATAACAAGCCAAAACACTTGTCTTACTAAAAGCGCTGAGCAGGCGACATATCCATTCCTGTGGAATTCTTGTTTTATATTGTACAGTGTACTTTTATTCTGTACTTGTGAACGTGTTGTATTCGAGTGTAACATTAAAGGTTCTTTTACAATTTATGTTAAATGGAAATGTAATCCATAAATTAAAATAGAAAACGTATCAGTGGCCTACTTACATAGGGACATTTTGATAAAGATAACGCAATCAGCGTAATATTAAAAAAGGACGTTGCTGATTGCAAACCAGTACCAGAACCACGTCATACGTATTATCTCCATTTACAGGTGAGACATTATATATACGTAAGGCTCAGTATATATCGTTAAAGTAGACTGTTGTGTTGTAGTCCCCTTTTTCCCTCTAGTACTGTCACCAGCTGTTTAGCTGTTATCGGTGGATATTCATTGATTTGTTGTGTGTGTGTTAGTTGTTACGTTGTAATTAAGCTTATGTTGGTCATGTCAGCATCAAACCTATGGGAGATAACGATGATGCTGTCTGTTTCATAGTGTTTACTGTATAGATGTTTAAAAATGATATGCAGTATGATATAAATAAATATCGTCAGAGCTATAAGAGTATGCGTTTATGCTATTAAGCAGCCGTATATACAACATACATAATTAAACAATCATACACATGTATGCATATTTACACACATGACTAAATATCGCTTGGTAAAATATGCGAGAATTAATGTATTTTGGGAGGTCTGATGCGTTTTTTTCCAGTTTAAGATTGACCTGGAACTATAGAAATAAAATCAATTAAAAGAGTGGCTACGCTGAATTACCGTTTTCTTACTATAAAAACAAACTTTATAGTAAAGAAAGTGTTTTTCTTTTTTAAGAAATAATTATTATGCATTGACATCGAGAAATTTTTCATCAATAAAAAAAATAAATATATATATATATATATAATCTTGGAAACTACGTACCGTCTCCGAGAATTCACAGAGAGGTATGGTTTTGTACCACATTTTCTTAAATATCAAGGCAATGTTTATTCCACAAAGAAATATATTTAACGTAATTGATATGTCAAACAATCCAGTTGAGAATCCATATATAGCACGCAGCATACTTTTTAAAAGATAAAAAGGACTCGTAAGATTTTATGATTTATTTTGTCAAAGCAATACGACATTGACAAAAATGGAATGGCATACGTATTTACAATGATGAAAGATGGAAACGAATATACAACATCAACTTATTTAAATACAAGACTACACTTATAATAACGTAGAATATATCAATATATGTCCATCGCCAACACATGGATTTTCAATCTATAGGGATATGTGATATTTCATACCGTTTGGTATCTTGTGTCTTTGCCACAGTTATCACACGAGACAGTGTCCACAGGAGATGGACTTCTCAAGAACCACTTTAAAGTTCTGTCTTACCAAAATGTTATTTACTTGGGCACGGTAACATGGCCCTCCATCCTGTCATATTATTCTAACGACAGACTTATCTGTGGTGTCTAGGGAGACAAATAGAGCTATTTAACGGAGAAAAATAGTGATACATGTAACTAGTGTAGTTATGGAGGTATTTATGTCAGATGTTTCTGGTTTTTGACTTAATACATGTAGCTACGTCCAGGTTAGAAAGTGTGACATCATCATTGAAGTCTGAAATCGCTTCTTCACCGTTAGACAATGCTACCTCGTTTTGTACCCGTAAGAGTGTTCAACATCACGCTTCTCCTCTCACCTTTTCCCCGTTGAACATTTATGATTCACACAACTAACTCATTAGACTGCCTATATAGCAATACTTGGATTGCACATCTATTACCATCACATTAACGGCCAAATGAGCAGGATGGCGTGGTCTACTTACACACACTAAAATAATGAAAAAAAACATATATCGTAATTATATCTTAATACACATTGAGTTGCCGAGGAGACACATAACACAATTATATCTAACACACAATGACTTGCTGTGGAGACATATAACACAATATATCTGACACACAATGACTTGCTGTGGAGACATATAACACAATTATATCTAACACACGATGAATTGCTGAGGAGACATATAACACAATTATATCTAACACACGATGACTTGCTGTGGAGACATATAACACAATTATATCTAACACACAATGACTTGCTGTGGAGACATATAACACAATTATATCTAACACACGATGAATTGCTGATGAGACATATACCACAATTATATCTAACACACATTGAATTGCCGAGGAGACACATAACACAATTATATCTGACACACAATGAATTGCTGTAGAAAAATATAACACAGTTATATCTAAAATACTATGCATTGCTGATGAGACATATAACACAATATATCTGAAATACAATGACTTGCTGTGGAGACATATAACAAAATATATCTTAAATACTATGAATTGCTGAGGAGACATATACCACACGATGAATTCACACGATGAATTGCTGAGGAGACATATAACACAATTATATCTAACACACAATGAATAGCCGATTAGACATATAACACAGTTTATCTAACACACAATGAATTGCTGATGAGACATATAACACAATGTATCTGAAATACAATGACTTGCTGTGGAGACATATAACACAGTTATATCTAACAAACGATGAATTGCTGATGAGACATATACCACAATTATATCTAACACACATTGAATTGCCGAGGGGACACATAACACAATTATATCTGACACACAATGAATTGCTGTAGAAAAATATAACACAGTTATATCTAAAATACTATGCATTGCTGATGAGACATATAACACAATATATCTGAAATACAATGACTTGCTGTGGAGACATATAACAAAATATATCTTAAATACTATGAATTGCTGAGGAGACATATAACACACGATGAATTCACACGATGAATTGCTGATTAGACATATAACACAATTGTATCTAACACACAATGAATTGCTGAGGAGACATATAACACAATTATATCTAACACACAATAAATTGCCGAGGAGACATATACCACAATTATATCTAACACACAATGAATTGCTGAGGAGACATATAACACAGTTATATCTAACACACGATGAATTGCTGATGAGAAATATAACACAGTTATATTTAACACACGATGAATTGCTGAGGAGACATCTACATATGTAGATCTAACACACTACGAATTGCTAAGGAGACATCTACATATGTTTATCTAAGCGGCAAGTGGAAGCATTAATACAGATACAGATTACCAGCAGTCTTGAACTATTGAATAAACAATATGATACATAGACGGGCTTTTTTTCAAAAAAACATCAGAATACAATCTGTTATCATACAATACACATGAGTGCGCCATACTAACTGCATTTTTACGACATATGGCAATCGGTTTATATGATTTTGAAATACACAATTATATTTATTTCTGGAACCATTTGAAGCTGGCACTTCATTTTGAAAATTTCAGATGGCATTCGCATAAACTTTAGATGCCAACTTTAACATTTTGGGGTTAGAATTCATGGAACATTTTAATCGCATACAAGTTATTTAGTTAAAATAAAATATTCGGTTCAAATTGAATGAATTGTGTATGTCGGTTCAATAGATAGAACAACCGTCTTCCAGGACGGTTAATTGGTTTCCATCGTTTGTATTATCACGGACTTAGATCTAATCATAAACATGTATTAACACTGATTGACGTCGTGTCGTGTCATTCATAGTCAATATAAATGCCAGCAGCATTCCGTACTGTTATATACATGTATTGACATGGTCATCCAATGATGAATGTATTATAACCAGTATGATTGTATGCATATGCATAACTACGTAAACATAAATAAATTAATGCACGTATGTTTAATGAAGAACAATCTAATTTTCTTGTTTGAGATCTTAGTCCGGGAAAAAGAAATTAAAAGTCACGAGTTTTCTGGTGGAATGGTTTCAGCGGTATTATCTGACAGAGGCGTCGGAACGCTTTGTTCCGCCTGTGCTTCCTGGTCATGCGCCGTTAATGTAGGATCCATAGACACTTCCGGTGAGTGATACGACACAGAAATTGAAGGAATTTGGACGTGTGGTGTTTTACCATTGGGCTGCACATGAACATGCTTGTCGTGTCCACTGTTTTGACCAATTTGATGACCATTATGGTCATAGTGGACACCACTGCTGTGACCGTGGGGATGGTGGTGCTCGTGATGGTGGGGCATGTGATCCACGTGGTACACACTCTTGTCTGTAGAGAACAAACAGTATTCAAACTCTACATGATGCACATTTTCAATGTAGTGTAGCCTTAGCGGTATTTGTCAGATCTTTAATTCAAAGCAGTACAAATCACTACACACGTGTATGGTAGACACTTATCATTTATAACGGCGTGTCTAGAACAAGTAACAGGGTATTTGTAAGTATTGTCAGATTACTCAAAAATAAATGCATTTAATATGCGGTAGTCAAGCAGCAAAACAATCAAGAAGCTTTTGAATACATTTTTAATCAAAGAAGGATGATTATCATGAATACGATATATTTGTAGGCCTGAGAAAACACGACTGTGCATCAGTTTATTGAAAATTTATTTCGTAAAATATTTCTTTTGTTATGTTATGAACAGTTTAAGGATTTCATACCATTCTTTAACAACCTTTGAGATATACTTACTTAGACCATAGACGTCCCGATCAACAGTTTCCGCAGGATGGATGAGGATATCTTTACTGACCGATTTCTTACACACGCAGCAGACAATGATGACAATGAGGATACAGAGAAAGACCATGCTTCCAATCACAACACTAACCACCCAACCGGCTCTGGAATCAAACAGAAACGACCGACGTGTCAGTTTTGGCTTGGTTTTATTTTGATACGAGTCCTATGAAATATCAAGTTCATTTAAGGGCGTGCCTCCATGAGTGTAATATATGCGTGTATGTGTATGTTTGCCTCTTTGCGATAGCGCAGAGCTGATGGCATCTTTAGAGTACAACAACATTGAAATTCCATGTCGAAGGAACACCCACCAGTTTTCGTGTACTTAAAATTTGCAATGATATTACAGTAAACATTTCTGAATACTTTTTTCAATATTGTTACTTTTCAGAGGAATTGTTTGAAGATGAGCATTATGAATGATTGCTATTGATTTATTTCATTCATTGTAGAGAACATGTAGCGGACACTAAAGAGGGTCCCGCGTGTATGAAGTCAGCCCGATAGTTAAAGCCGTGTCTAAAAATATTTCATCCATGCTTGGATTATAACACTTATTATTAATGTCGGATCAGGCAGAATGCGTTAAATGTTTATCTACCATTATGTACCAACCATTCCTGATATACAATTGAATAAGAATATAGGTGTGGAAGTTCTAAGGGTGCTTGAGATGGAGAGGAGAAAGGACGAATATAGCTATAATAATACAGTATTTGAAATCGACACACACAATCTATTATAAGTCCACATTTCGATTAAAATCAACTGTAGACTAGTTATTTATTTTTATGATCGACAATTTAATGATATTATCATAACTTTTAATTCGATATTATTGTCAAAATAAGTCTGGGTACACATGCGCAATGTACAACACTCACCCTTGATCAGCGGGAGCATCTGGTTCGCGGGCAAGACACAGACCTGGATAAATAGCAATTGACATGTAGGTGGATACCTTATTGTATACCTCTTTGTTTGTATAGCACATCGCACTATAACGACAATTTTCTAACATCGAGAATAATTATCCTCTATGGAAAAACGTTTACAATTATATGAATAACGAATACAACCTTGATCATAATGAACATTCTTTTCGCGCATACAGGCGTTGTTTTTTGAAGAATTAATCAGAACAGTTATAATTGTTTGTCAAAACATTCCTTCCATAACAAACGTTTGCTCGGCAGGGCAGTATCAGGTGATTTTACTTATTAATCAAATGTTATGGTAGTACATGTCGCTCTGATGAAAGGTTTGTTGAAAGTTTATTGTAAATCATTAATGTTTGTGAAGTTGTAAATAAAACAATCTGGAACAATAGGTAATGAAGGAGTACAAAACGTGTTAGTAAACAGACGCAACGTGAAAGTTTCGAGTCATCAAACTGTATGAAATCTGTAAGATTCTGTAGATCAGGTCATTCTTAACTATACCTCATTCCATCGGAAAACGCTCGTCTGCCTTGAGAATATGCCATAAATTTAAAAAATACGGACAATGCTTGAAATGTTTATCATACAATTTCAGAGGTGGTGAATGAGTCTGTTCAAGAGCATTAAAATAAAAAAGGTCTAAGTCTATAGCGTTTTTTCGAAATTCTTTTTAAATGTGTCCTTATTAAACCTTTTGTATACCTTTTATAGGAATATGCACTTGGGTCTTGTTACACATTCATGGACTTTAAAAGCGCGCGGTCACTGCCCTTAGTTAGGGTTATTTATGAACTACTGATTACAATGTTAAATGTTTCAAGATCTCTAGAGAAATAATATTAATTATTTGTACTCACCCGTTACAAGGAAAAGTCCTAATAAAAGATGGAGACAACTTCTAACTCTGAAAATCATGCTGTCAGTCTATGGTCGCTACAGAAGGGTATGACTATCCGTGTTGATAATAGCATACGTGACAGACTGCACATGACACTATTTCACACATGAGGATACGTACGCATACCGAACCAGTATAAAGATTAATACGGAGGGAACAAATGCTGGCATTCTCTACAGGCAATTTGAACGGCCCTAAAACGTCATCAGTAGATTAACCTTTGGATCAAACCACATAAAATAGCGTACAGACAGGATAAACATGTTTTTCCTTTTTTTTAAACATGCTAGAACTACTGAAAGTCAACATCAGTATATTTAACTTTTATGAAGATTGACTACAACGCGATTATATTTTCATTATATCATGATACACTTTAGAAATGAAATATGCTTTAAAATCAGATTTAATATAAAAATAAAAAAATAAAAAATAAAAATCTGTCCTTTAGCGTAAACAATTAGAACTCTAAGTTAACAAAAAAAAATAAAAAAAATAATACCCTACGCAGACACAAAGAAAAGAAAGATATAAATATCATAACTATGTCATCTCGGTGTTCACATGACCTACGACATATTCAGTGTGACTAGGATCGTTGGTGACCTAGTCAGAACTGGTGCCACATGTGGTACAATATAGCTTATTCTCCCGATTGTTTGTTTTGGCATAGTTAAAACTTCGGTCAAAATGACAAACATTAAATAGAGTCAGCGTAAATCAAAATATCTCTGGTAGCACCCCTTAGATACTTAACATGTTTATCAACTGAACGCAAGTTTCTTATGCCTAGAACTTTCTTATATAACGAATAGCGAAACAACGTTGGCAAATAATCTTCCTTGAAGAATGGAATTTTGACAGTTGATTGTTGAGGGTTCACAGATGTTGGGATACTCCGTTCCATATTTAAGAGCATCTACACGTACAATGTACATCGTGTACAAAATAGCAGCAAAAAACAGGTGTAATACAATGAATGTAGGTGAATTTCTATTGGGATGTCCCAACGTCATTATAGAAGGACACAATTGCAACTCGAAGATGATTCGAAAAGACAGCAACAGGAACAAATGATGGCAGCAAGAGACATGAATCCAACATAGGCTTTGATGTCTTTCGAAAATAAAAAAGACATATTGTGAACCTTTATTAAGTCATGATAGTCACTGAAGTGAAATAATTGCGAATCAGCTCAGGATCGATGACGCCAATACATTTCCCGGCCTTATTCAACAGAAGAAAAACCAGGCTGTGTCGGGTGCTGAACAAAATGTTGCGTGTATCCAGGTATCCCAAAGAAATGGAACATGTTAAAGTCCTTTAAGGTCTTTCACACACCGTATGAAAATATACATCGTGACGAAGTTGATTTAACAAGTATTTTAAATAATAATCTCCGTTGTATTCCAAGTGTAAACAGCCAGGGATGTAAAAATCACGGTTTAATAATAGACTATAAAATGAAGAACCTACCCTTAAAGGAGCAGCAGAACCGCAAAAAATGTCTGCGTGTTCAGAGGTTTCAAACAATGTAAAAACACTTTGGAACGCTGTGTCACTTGTCTACTACCGAGTTTAATACAAGAACAATATGGTTTATATGACATGTATCCAACTTCAAATTTTAGATTCACTGCCTTCCGACCTAACTTAAAAAGGACTACTGCACTGTCAAATATGAAATCAGAACGAGGCAACACGATCATGTGACACCCCTTCACGTGCTAACGAAGAGCGCCAAATTGGCATCTGAAGTAAGGAAGCACCTATACAAAACTAGTTAAGTTTGAAAGAAAGCCAGAGAAAGGAAGCATTTAACTGCATGGCATGGTAAGGACTTAGGACGCTTTAGGACTCGACAGTAGTACTTAAGGTCAAATATGGGACATACATGGAAAGTGTTACAAAATATACGTAGAAAACAGCAGAAAGAGGAACAGTGCCTATAAAATCCTTCATTACGTTACAATACTATCATTTGGCAACAAGACATGAGATGGTTTCAAAAAACTTTACTCACACATGCTGAAAACATCCTAACAAGTCGTACCTACCCCAGGGTGTGGTAGCAGGTTGATTAGCATTTGTGCAATGTGGTGTAGCCGATATATTTACAAATGTAAGAAAGAGGTCAAGTATACATACTAACGACCGTATAATGTAATAACAATACAATGTCAAAACATATAGCATAATACAAAATATCAAAATAAGACCTCCATAATGTAACAAACCAAGCAAATAGCTCATTAAACCGTTTGACTGGTCTATTGTTATAGACACGATCACCATTGTGTCCTTGTCAGTCTGTTGTCCTCGAGGCGGCACCCCACTGTACCTTACCATGTAGCGCGTAACTGTGTACTAAATAATGACTCAGTACAATGTATTTAACGTCCCCTAAATGACAAAAGCAGTTGGATGGTCATACCAGGGTGTGTTGTCACAGTTAACCTCGACCTTTAATGCTGTTTATTAAATAGCTCAGTCGTGAAATATTATGATTTTTTTCTGCAAGTATTGTTGCCAGCATTTGATACACTTGAACAACATAAGAAATCTTTTGAAATTAATTGGTTAGTGGAAACATTTCTTATGCTTATATGTCTATTGCGAAAATGACCTAGACAAACAATTGTTCAGACAGGTGCTGTTCACTAAAGTGTATTGAGCCATATGCTAAGGACCTCCCCTACACAGATTTAACCTTTAAACGTATGTATACTGTATTAGCCTTCTCAATTACCAACCATATACAATTATACCAGATGTCTTTCTCTGCTAACATTCAGTATATGGTTTACCAATTGCCCTACTGAACCTATATCCAACATACAAATATGTCTGATGCCCAATTATTGTACAAGCATCAGATCTACGGATTGATTACATTTTTATCAGTAAAAGGCACTGTGGTGAAGATATACGAAGATTTATATCGTCACATGTATGTATTCGTATATAGACGTAAACATATAAGGGAACCTAAGAAAAACAAGACACTTGTTTACATTTTATCTGTTTATTTTTTACACCAAATGTACCTTTACAAATGTTTGTATACAGCGTAACGATAACAATCCATCCACACTCTTGTCACAATATTAGGAAGTGGTCAGTACATCACGTACAAAATACAGTATCAACAATATTTACATACATTGTTTATCATATAATCGGCCTGTTATCCAGTGAATTAGCCCCTGTAATATTTTAACATATGCAACTAGTGTAATATGTATACCCTGGAGCGTTTTTCATTGGCTGTGCCAGTCAGAAATCGATTGTGACGTCATAATATGGACAATGACGTGACGTCATAAATAGTGAATGGCGCAACAAAATGGCTGTCTCCGTTTCATTAAGCTCTCTACATTTTGTCTCTAAACCCTGTCAAAATGTAAGTTTTCTGGGTTATGTGATAAAAAGTATCTTAAATATTTGTTTTCATTTCATATGAGTTTTTATGAAACTCGTCTCGAGGTTTAGATTGTTGCTCGCCAAGGCTCGCAAAAATTAAAAAATCCTAAAACTCGTTTCATAAAATCTCATATGAAATGAAAACTCATTTAAGATGCTATATATACTATATAGGGAAAATAGTTTAAATACCCTCCAAAGCTTTGATAATAGCTCCACATGCTTAGTTCTACATCAATTAATTTTAATAAACAAACATTGTATAAACGTCAAATAATGGATTAAATGCTACTTAACAATTTAAAATCAGGAAATGGAAAGAACAAAAATGACGGACCGACGATACTGCAGAAACCATTATCTCCACCTAAGAAGTTTTGATAAAGAGTCCCAAACATCATCTAGCCAGCACCAATCAATATGAATCTGTTGATTTAACAGTCAAACAGGATATGCAATGCCGTATGAAGTTTTGTCGTAATCATGTGCAAGACCATGAAACACCGCTAACGACTGATGTTTTTGGAAGTATATGCAGGATCAGTGCAAAAGTTAATCTCAATGTTTTAGAAAAATACAAATATATTCCAACAAAAAACTGACGTTATATATTTGATATCGAGACAATGTTTTTTGAGCTGCAGTGCAGTAGATTCACTTGCGACACAAGTATTCTTTGAGGAAGTTGTAATTTAATGTTGTCATCGGTAAGGTTTCAGTAAAAGATGGTAGCATTTCATAAATTCTGTCGTTACAGAGGTTTTATCCACTTGATATTCCGAGTGTTTAGGTAAAGGTTAAACCCCAACACTAAGGCGAAGATTAACGCGTGATCCTTCCGAGAATAATAAAATAAATTAAGTATAAAAAATATGTAATTTTCAAAGTAGTTGTAATACATATTTTACATGAAAACAAATAGTATTCAGCTTTGGCATTTGTGCAAATACATGTCGATTAATACAATAATACTAATACTTACACTATCTATGAAATAAAACAAACCGATTAAAAAAACCTCTTTCTAAAATAAAACTTTGCAATGTAATGTTAATAACACACAAGTTGACATACGATTTACAATCAACTCTCTTATGTACAGAAAGAAAATGAACTTAATCTCAACATGGAATGTATATAGAGGTAAACATATAAGTATGGTATCCTGATTCAACAAAGATTTAATGGTTGGTTTATTACACGTGTTTTATAAGTAAAACCCCGCGGTAGTCCTATACTGTTAAATCAACGCCATTTACATTACCAATGACCACGAGACTCAACATTGTACAAGAATGCCCATACTTACGTAATCAAAAGCATATCGCCTAAGCACTAAAACCTTACATTCGTGGTGAAACTTTCGCCTTTGAAAAGCATGTCTTTGATTAAAACTCACGTCAACATATGAATCTGTACCGCCGTCGTAACCTTAGGAGTAGGAACGTATTGGTAAGTTATGTAGTAGAATCAATTTATTGGTTATACTTAACCATTTATTTACAAGTATGCATTTTTTATTATTAAAGATGAACGTTATAAACAAGTAATACTCTTGTCATGTGATACCCAATAAAAATAGCGTGAAAACCTATCGTTTTGTGTACTCGCCACGATGAATATCGCTTATAGCCTTCTCCAGTTGGCTTGTCCGCACATCTCTCAAGTACACCAAGTTCTCTAGATGGCGTACTTTGGTCAGCATTATCTACACAGACAAGAAATTAAACAACCGATCATGTCAAGGAAGTAAGATGGGTAAAACGTACTCCATGGTTAGAATAGCATACATATTTTATGACACCAGTTTTTTTTATCATTGAATACATTGTTTTACTGCAGACAATTTTCGATCATGAGGTATTCTATTATTGGTTATAGCATTTAACAATAGGTGTAAAGTCTTATCAATGCATTACAATTCTTATCAGCTTTTTACTTTTTAAAACACATTAAATTGTTTGGTATAATTTTGTTAAACACCTTATTAACAACTACTGTCATTGAAGGACGTGCCTCCATGTGTGTAGCGTATGCGTGTTTGTGTGTTTGTATATGCAGGAGACAGGGTATGTTGGTGTGCTTACCTTCTTGTGATAGCGCGGATCTGATGCCTACTTTATAGTGCTATCTCACTGAAATACCATGCCGAAGGCAAAATATAGTGGACGAGGTATTTGTGTAATTTATCCAGCAAACAAAACAATGCCACATTACAAGTATTTAAAAAAGATGGTCTTGATATCATTTATATCTCAAATCATAATCAGTTTCCGAATTCATTGTAATCATCTTGCAGTGTTCACTACAATTAGTAAAAATCACAGACAGAGAATATCCACCACTTAAATATAACATCATCACACCACTGTAACCCACATTAAAGCACACAGCACTAATGAGTATAGACACCGTTTGATAAACGTGTGTTAATAGACCCACACAAATGATAACAACTAACGAGTACTACTTATAAGAAAATACATAAAATATCAGTGCACTATTATAGGAACATTCTTGATTAGTAGGTAAATTAAACACATTATTCTATAACAGCATAAATGCAAATACACAAAAATAAATATACATTGCTTTGTTAATTATTAGCTACCTCTTTTTTTGACTATATAAATCAATAAAATAATTGTGTATATCGGGAAAATATATGAAAATAAAGATAAATAACTTGACACTTACAGAATAAAAAAGTAATGAAAATCCAAATGTTCCAAATGATTTCATTAATTCAGTGAATCTTAAAATTACAGCCAGACTCCCGAATCATTTGAGTTGTCCTTTAACATTGTAAACGAATCTTTTCTTATACAGAGGCAGAAATGATTTTAACATGAATTTACATACAAGGTCTGATTTAAGTATTTTCTAGGAAAACAAACTTTCCATCCAATTTTAAACATTCTGCTATGGTTTTGATAACAATACAGGAACCTTGTCTCAGTATTGTAAAGTATTTGAATTTTGTTTTCATATGATGAATAAGAGCTTACATTTATTCCTGAACTAATTAAAGAATCATATCTTCGATTTTTTTTCTATTAATATTATAATAAAAAAAGTAATAACTTCAAACCTAGATATGTTTCTCAACTATCAGTCCAATGGCACAATTGTACATATTTATTACAAAGAGCAGTAGGCCACGTGTGCCCATCAGCTAGCTCATCCGATAAAGTACTTTTATGCACATTTACAATTGGTCGACAGGAGAATAAGTCATATACAAATTGGTTTGGTCAAGGAAGTAGAATATCACTGGTCCGCAGATCTTCATGTAGAAAGATCGTTGGCAAATCATTGCCTGCTGGAATATTGTTGAAACGCCACTGGTCCTCTGGAAACTTCAATCAATGGTATACAAATGATTCGTTTGAGAATAAGTGATATACTACTGGTCTGCTGGAGAATCAATGCCATATACTGTTTGTCCAATAGAAGAGTTATGTAAATTACACATTCCCCTCAAAATGGATATAACAAATCTGAAGATGAAGGTAACTACAGGTGGTAAGGGAAGCTCTGGTGACAAGTCCGGTGAACATTGCTGCTATCATTTTAGCCCGCCTGTAGGTCGCAGTTGTTCTATTTGAGTTTGAAGTTCTTCTAACCGTATGTCCTTTAGATGCAACAAATGTTCAAGTCGTCGTGTTTTAGCTTGCAACATCTATAAAATAGAAGTTAATCAACTCATTGAAAGGTTCTATCTCAGCAAGGTGCAAGCAGTGACGCATATAACGTCGGATGGTGAGAACTCTGATAATAGCCAATCAAATATCTTCCTATGTTGAAAACCAATTAATTGATATAAAAACACTTGAGAATGACATATTTGTATATGTTTTAGATGCCCTTATACAATCTTAAAGGGTCTCTCTTTATATATAGAGAGATTGAAAACAAAACTGGAAAATACCAAAAAATCATCAGACCTCATCGTACACTTCCTCAAGATATATGTCCATAAAAGTTATATTACCATACACTCATTTTCTTTTACCTATCAAATATTTCATTGTTTTAATTTTTATGTATGGATATTTTTTCTCTCGTCTTTCTTCTTCAGAAAATGTATTAAATGTATTCAAACCTGTTTTAAAAACATCCTAGTAATGCAGGAGACTTCTTATATTTATTTGTTTTCATCAAACAACAAGCATGCTATTGGTTACGAACATAGAAAGCCCTGTTATACATGCTTGTTATAGATAAAGCATATATATATTATCCACCATCCCACTCTGGGGAAATATATCGTTTTTAGTATCATGGCATTAAAACCCCAAAAGGGTGGTTTATTTAATTCGGCACCATACCATTAATTATTTGTAATCATATCAAAGAGTACTAATTAAAAGCTGGATAGAAAATCAATAGAAGCTACCTTAAAGTACAGGGATGGAGTCAATAGTGGCTTCATTGAAAGGTGTCATCCTTATGTCCACAGCCAGCAGGTGCCAAACACTATTCTTGCTAGATTTTAACTAGGTTTGGAATTTCATTATTAATTTACTTTTCAGATTATATATTTAAAATATAATGGTCCACAATAAAAAGGGGCCAGTGACTACAACATTACTTGTAATAGTACCAATTTGTTCTTGCAAAGACGCCTTTTGCCTACAGATGTATTGTGACAATCGAAGTCTGTGCGCCCACGTGCGAGTCTGTCGGTCTTTTTTGTTTCTAGTATTAATTAGTTTTATACGTAAATGATAGTAATTAATTATTTCACAGGGGTTTTATTTGATGTTACGATGAAAGCAATACCCCGATTCTGTGCATAAAGCACTGACTATCACGTGCATTATACATTCGTATACTATATAGATATAGTAGTTTAATGTCTGGGGAACAGCTACCTTGGCAATAAAATATATAATTAAAGCATTCGTAATAAAATAGGAAGAACAACTCTTATGACTTAACTGTGTCACATATGAAGTTTTAAAGAATAGGTTCAACGGCCATTTTTGCTTGTATGTTTTGAATGGTATTGCAAACACACTTCACACGTCTGACCTTTAGAGTGGGCCAAAGTCAACTTTGTTCAACCAAACTTGATGTAAAACATATGTACACTAAAAGCTAAATAACACTACACCACACATCCTTGATCTTTGTTGCAAATTTTATCGTATTTCATTCATGTCATCTTTACTTGAATACGTATAAGCATGTTGTCATAGCAAGCTACTGGCCAAATATCATTACTCAAGGCCATATGGACCTTTAGAAGAAGACTTTTGAATACAATGACATTTAAATGAACAATTGTAAAAGTCCATCATACCAGCAAGCTAATTAATTGCCTATTCCGTCTTTGCATATTGCAGAGTTATCTTCTCTTGTGAGCAGATATTGATTTTACGTCATTGGTTTGTGTGAGAAAATTACGTCGTTTTCTCAAAAATTGATGACGTTACTCTCACAAACCAATGACATAACAATCAATATCTGCTCACACGAGGAGATAACTCTGCAATACGCAAAGGCGGAATAGTCAAATGTCATCACTGTAGACCTTATATGAATCTTCATCTTTTGTATTGTTTGTTTGAAGATTTCAGAAATTCAACTTGTGGGTTGAATTAAGTTATCAAAATGAACTTAACATCAATAATTCTAACAAGCTATATGACAAAAAGAACTCCAGCTACATGTATTTCTTCAAGGGTATTCTTAACAGTATTTTAACACCTCTGACCCCTGTGATATTGTAAGTAAGGTCGAGGTCATAAGTTGGAACAGATCTGATAGTCCTCCTATCTTTAAAAGGATTAGGACAAATAACATTACCTAGTCCTTATGGATCTTTTAAAGAATTTGTTTAACATTTACACACTTCTTCCTTGAGATCTTGAAGGAGGGTCAGGGTTTTTATTGTTTGTATTTTATATATGAGCATATTACACTCTGCAATCACTTTATACCAGAACATTTTCCTCTCAAGTTTGACTTTCGCCTTGTTTGCCCTTCCCAATGAGGGGGACTTTATCATAGCAATGAATATTAGTGTACAACGTGCAATGCATAGTAATTGTAACATGTAAAGGGCGAAATCAAAACTGAGCAAACATGGTTTTTATTAGCAAAGGGGAAATATTTGACCGAGTGAAAGATTCTCTGTATACATTAACTTCATTTCAAACATTAAGAAACAACACTTATTGCTATGACTGCGAAAATTCAGTATACTCTGTTGGTATGCAAAACAATTTAAATCTTAGAATCAAACAAATGAGAATAAACAGCAGAACAAATGAAACATACATGTACTGTTTAGGAACAACTACCCATTATGTATAATTACAGTCACGGTTGATAGGTTGTGAGGTGGGGAGGTATGAAGACATTTGTGATGTTTGTACAATACCTAATAAAAGTTCAATTGTAAAGAAAAATAAAGAATGTTTCATGCTCTATTCGATTTCTAATTAAAGCGACATCAAAATGACAATATAAACCTAGCAGGGAATGATAAAAGCAAACCCTCGCATTTATATTTAATGTCAATAGTAAATGGAGCATGGTCCCTGCTCCCCAGAGTGCCATATCACATCTATGTGAGCTTTAACTATGTATGGGTTTGTACCAGCTGTACTAACAACATCAGGTACAACAGATGTAAGGTTAATCTAGTATAAGCATTATTAACAGTCAAAGTGTGAAATTCGTCTAATCTACGGGACAAATTAGGACGAGGACATATAGAGCTAAAACAATCAAGTTCAGCCATGCGAGAAGCTGGCAATAAGTCTGTCAAGCACACAAAGCCATGCAGGTTGTGAGACACAGTAATATTGTCATGCATAAATCAGGAAAATCCACTAAAGTCAACTCCGTTATAGTAGGGACCAGCTTTTCCATTTAATTGTCCGACACCAAATCTACATGTTTTGGTGATAGATTTTATTGTATATAAACCTCTATTTTTGAAAATATACTCAAAAATAAATAACATTATGAAGGTATTCTTATTATCTCATTAACTTACTCAATACACTCCATTCTGAATACAGAAACATGATGACTTCCTCCATCAAATGTATCTATACAACCAAATAACAACCAAATCAGGATTGTCTATCATTTATTTTTGAAGACAAGCATAAAAAAGACATTAAAGGTACAGTACCTAAATGTGTTATGCATTGTCTTTCATGGAGCTTGAGCCACTGGGGAAATCTATCACTTGGTATAACAGGAAAAATTTAAGCTTTGTCAAGAAAGTAAATATAGATAACTGTTATATTATCTGAAACACTTGGTCTCTGATCATGTCTTTTTAACATTTTTATTTTTGCCAGTTACATTAGAAATTTGTTGGTATAATATGTAGCTGCTTTTTTAACTAGCTGAGGGGTTTTGTACTACAATGTATTATACTTGAAAATCCTTCTATTTATGGTAATATGTAAAAGAAACTTCTCATTATCTCCGTTAAAATGTTCCAGACAAGTTAACTGGAATGCATTAAAAATGCATTAAATATTCCAGAACAAATTTAACTGACAATCCCTCAAATTTAGAGATAATATTGAATTTAACAGAATTTTTTGTTCTATATTTTGCAAAAAAATGATGATTAAAATAATTAACATGCTTGCAAATCTGGTAAATGTCTGGTCCTTACTATACAATCCCATATTATACCCACAAAACACCCTGCACAGTAGTCCTTCATATCTTGTAAATATACTTACTGCAATTGTCTCCCCCTTGGCGAGACATTCCTGTTCCTTCTCCTCATACATAAGGGCAAGGTCCCGTTCCTTTCTTGTTCCACCTACAGGTGGGTGCCGTACCACGTTCCCTGGCATCGCAGCATCATTTCTAGTAACAAAGAAGTGATCACGTTACATACAAAGTCATGGCCGAAATAAAAACATGTTAAGCTTTACGCTATAAGGTTAAGGCAAACCTGGTTATAACACAGAGCATTGCAAATTCCATACAAAGACTCGTTGTTCACAAGTTTTATTTTGTGAGACAAGAGTACCAACAATATGGTTTTTATATTTAAAAACCATGCACTCCTCACATTATAGAACAAAACATTTATATTGACCTATATAAGTGTTATATCAATTTCACTTTTACGTGTTGACTTTTACAAATCACATAGTTCTTTTTACTACTGTAGACTTCCCTAACCTCACGTAAACATTGAATGAAGCTATCGTTAAAATCAAATCAACTAAATTCTTTGAATATAGTTTGTATAGTATCTTTTGTCATTACACATAAGTACAACCTATTTTTTAAGTACAGTAAAATAGTGTTGTACATGTAGTTACAATCAAGTCAGATAGCAGCAATGCATGAACTAAAAAGTAATAAAAATTGCTCAACAAAACACATTAACAGGTCATAGCTATATTAAAAATGTTAGTAGTGTTGTCTGTTGAGATAAAATACTGAGAAGAAAACTGCCATACTTGTATTAATTCCCCAAGGCACCACAAAATGTACACTTCAGGTTATCATTTAAATGTGGATGACCTACATGTACATTATACATTGTTAAAACAACTGTTATTGAATGATCAACACTAGTGGATGTACAGAATTGCAACACATAACACTGGGTATACATCATAAGAAATATTGATTCATATAGTGAGTTGGGTTAGAATTTTAAAACAGGAAAAAAATACACCTTAGCAATAAATCAATATTTGAGTAGAAAACACTTCTAGAAATGTAGGTATACATGTAGCATTATACCTCATGTAAGCACCTTTCAAAGCCCATATAAAACACAAAAACTTTCTCTACACAGAAGGCAACAGACATTTAAATATCATATATATATATGTCTTATTTGCTGTGCAGATCACAGATCTGTATACGGTGTAGGTCACCAAGTTTCAACAACTGCTTTGTGATTAAAAATCATCATTCACGGACGACTAGGAGTCAATTGACTTGGACCATATGCATGCATATATAGAATAGTGATGAATAATTTGTGATAAATGACATACCTACAAAAAGAGACCAGGACAAAAACAAATGCTTAAGTGACTACCAACATGCATGTAGGGAAACACATGACCTTTGTTTCCCAGAGATCAATAAAGTTTTATGAGAGCGGAACAAACAAATCATGTTTCCCTATCACGAGGGCAATAAGTATGTTATGATACTAAAATAATTCAATAACACAGCAACAAAGATGGTCAGGTTGATGTGCCATGGCCAAAAAGCAACCTTTTCCACATGAAAGTAAAAAACACTCCTACTGGGATCAGTCTGAAGTGTCATAATGCGAACATTTTCACAAGCAAGAATTTCCACTTTTGTCTGACATCAGGTCAGGTAGTTACTTAAGTGTTTTCTATTTTTGTACTTCTAAAGTTTCAAAGGAAATCTCAATTTTAATCACCATAAAGCCATGTCATGAATATAATTGTCTGATGAATAATTTGAGAAAATATTAAAGTGCAAAAATTCAGGCAAAATCAAAAGCTCTATTAGAAACATTGATAACAAAACACCAATTAGTACCAAAGAGGATGATAATGGTACAATGAGTATTGATTATTAAACTAAATAGGATGATGCATGTGGGACAGAGTATACAGGAATAAGGCTTGAAAGGTATCATATAACATAACAGAAAATGTAAACGAAAATTTGAAACAGCATTGACTACAACAGAAACAGCAAGGGGAGATAATTCTACCTTCCAAGATTCTTGTAAGTAACTCGTTCAAATGGCGGTGGAGGCACTTCTCTGAAATTGGTGTCAACATAAAGTAGATTCATCTTCAAGTTAATCTCAGCAGAATGTTCAAATCTAGACAAGTACTATTCCATTAACAAGAGTCAAAGAGGGCTTGTATTGCTCACCTGGGCATTTTAGTAATCATGAATGGCAATTAAATATAATACAATTGTACTCCAAATAATTTCTAATATTTTTCCCTGTCTCTCAGCATCCAAGTGGGCAATTACATCATTCCTATATATACAACATTTTATTCCCTAGTCCCAAGGATGTCAAAGTAAATTTGGTTGAAATATAATAAACTTTTTAAGAAGAGTTAAAGGCTTTAAAATTAACAAATAACCCTGTTTTGTGTCCAGCCCTCAGAAGACCTACATTCTTCCTTTATACAAACAACAATTGATTTCAAGTCAAAAGAACCGATGATGTTTCATAGGAAATATGGATTAGATCAATTTATGAGTTTATGATTATAGGAAGGAAATTTCAACTACTTATAATATTAACCAGAAATGTATTTAGCGAGGTTAGACTCATTGACTAATCCTGGTAGCTTGATTGTGTGCCCAGCAAGCAAATTTATGGTTAGAGTCCATATTTGGACTAAGTTTCCCGGGGGAACAATGACATCAGCAGGGCAGTTATTGAAGAACTTGTGCATGAAGGACATTTTCAAGATTAAACAGCAAATTTTGGGAATTACGGTAGGCTTTTATATGAAATACTTCAATTGGGTAATGGGGCCCATTATTGGTCCCAAAAAGTCCCCAGAAAAAACACTGATTATCTATATAAACCCAGAAACATCTTCATGTTAAGTCCTAAGAACTTAGTCACCAGGGGCCAGTAGGACCCCTTGAGCAATAATAGTAGCATCATTGTGTTTTTGCTTACTGTCGAGTATATGATTATACCGTGAGAATCACATCCATTTAAATGTTGAGCAAGTCCTTGTAGCATGGATCATGTGTTTGGCTCATAATATCCAATATGTGTATACATGGTTATAGGGTGGAGGTATTGGATGTTTTCAAGTCATCATATGACCCAATTTCCCAGTTTGGCCTCACAACTGGGCTGGGGACTGACCCCAGGCCAAATCCTGGAAGAATGGATTTAGATGTATGTGTCTAATTATAAGATGGGGATCTAAACTGTTAAGTTATTACCTGAATTTCCTATAGGGCCCCACCCATCAGTGGGGACAGAACCCAGACAAATTCTGGTGGCTAATGTGTACATTCATCTCTTTGTGCCGAGCAAATGTATATAAATTGTTTTAGGGTGGGGATCTCAACAATTTCCATGTTGACCTAATTTCCTTATTGACCCCATCCCTGAGGTGCATACAAATGGAGACAAAAAGTTCAAATTTTGGTTAGGTATAGTGGAACCTAATTATTATGATATTGGATATTATGAGTAACCGCTTATTATAATATTTGGTCACAGACCCATTTTTTTTCTCTATATAAGATTGGTTAAAAAAGCATGTTTATTATGATATGGTCAACTGTGGGACCCCCCTGCCCCCCTGCTCATTATATTTATTTTTTTCTGTCATGAATTGATTTTTATAAGCTAAAAACTAAGTACCTAAACGTTGTCTGTGTGCGACACCTGGACAATTGCACAATTAGGCCGGCTAACTGTACATCACCTGAGGTTATTGTTACAGTCAACCTGTCCACTCCAGCTAAGTTTTTAAAACCTCTCCACCCCATTCAGTGGAAAACAATAGATCAACCCTCAAATACTGGTCATATATTTTAGTTTTAGAAATTTCTGTTACAAAACATGTACAGTAGTTAATTGCTTTCAAATGGAAATTATTAGGCCTACCAACATTTTCTAGCACAAAATCCACTCAACCATTCTTTGCTAAAGGGCCAGGATTGCTAAAAACCTATGTAGATTAATGTGAAATCTTTGTTAAAATTTTCAGAAATATCATGGTCATTTACTTCTCTACAACATTAATATACTTCAAATGTATTCATTAATTTATAATAATTAAGATCATGCAAAGTTAAGGTCTGATGCAAAATTTTAATGGGTTTGTTAAAATCAAAGCATGCTTCTCTTTGTTAATGATGGAGGTTTGTGATACTCACATTGAAGCTTTGGATGACGGGTTCTTTCCCTTAGCTCCTCTCCCTTTGCTTCCTGAACATAACATAAAAGAAAGAAGTGTACAATTACATGCAAAACTTGAAGTGTCTGAATATTCTCCCATTTAATCCAGGGGAAAGGATTATCAGTGTGATGTTTTTAGCTTTGAAACCCATTTTGACCAAACATCAATATTTCTACCAGAGGATTGACCATTGCTCCTTAATTACAGTGGATAAGATGACCATAAGAGCAAACAAATTTGACATACCAAAGTGCTGGTCGGCCTCGGGCTGATCGCTCTCCTTGGCCCTAAATGTGGAGACAGGGGGTGGGGGCGCCATATGTTCCTCCTTTAACTTGTTGTCAATCCTGGTCTTTAGTTCTATTAGCACTTTCTCGATGGTGTAGGGTTTGGCTTGAGTTAGATCATGTAACACATCATCACCCAACTCAAAATGTAGTTTGTTTAGAACTTTCCTGTGGAGACAAAACAGTTTTCATATTATAATTTGACATCCTTATGATTTATGTTAATAGCATAACAACACTTTGACCGCTAACAGAGCCATTTGTCCAATGTCTGTTTTAAATAATTTCTGATTTTTTTTCCAGGTCTATTCAAATGCATTCTGTTAACAAAAGAACTTCGATTCTTAGCCAAGGTGTTCTACATGAGAGGTTTAAATCTACACTGCAGAAACTATGGTTGACATCATGATCGACCTAATTTAATGTCAATTAAGGCCAAACTGGAAAATGTCTGTAAGACATAAATGCCCCGCTCATGGATGGGACAGGACGGGACGGACATGGGCAACACTATATGCCCCCCCATTTAATGATGGGGGCATAAAAAACCTATTTCACTGCTTTTGGAATGTTTAATTAAAGGTCTGATGGCAGGACACATTTGCTGACTGTTCATTCTTGGATTTTTTTGTCCTTTTTTCTTATTTTGCAAGGTTTATGATATTTTATATTAACGGTACTTTTGTTTGAAATTCAATGTCTCCTCATGACCATAGACAAATTGATGATGTTTGTAGTGAGAGCACAGATATTGTTCTACTATCTGCTACAATACAGATAGCAGTATAAGGATACTCTGTAAGTTGAGCCATAAACCATGAACAGCTTCACACTTACCTGTTAAGGACTCTCCAATTTGAAATTTTCTTTTTGGTGTTACTTGATGCTGTATAATTATGCAGTTCAACAAGCCTTGGGAAGTAGTACCGTATCATCTCTGCCACTAACACTGCAAGAATTTTTTGAAGAAATGAATGTCAATTAATACCACGGTATCAAGTTAGAGTTGAACAATTTATAATGTATAACACCATATAGAATGTTATTTGGGCTGTCACAATATGTTGGAAAACAGGTATAACGCAATACACGGGTATATCATATCGTACCATAATTCAGCATACTTTTATGTATCTGCTTGGTGTTTTAACTTTGCAAATTACTACAAATTCTAACAGATATGCCAATAAGCATTAAGCAGGCATTTAATAGTTCAAATTTTGTAATCGATGGTTGGTTTGACAAAAATCTTAAATCTATGTATTACCCATGGATATCTTTATCATATATAATATGCATATTATATATGATAAAGTTTGATAACATAAAGATAGTGCCATCGCTTGGGCTTGACCCGCGACCTTTGGCTCTCCAGTCCCATTATCTATCGCTGAGCTAAAGGGAAATTATTTACAGCTGACGCTTCTAAAGCAACATAATCAATGCACATGTATATATCTTTTACATAGCTTCGAGCTAGAAGGAATCCCTGGCTTCACCCAGTGGTAGAGCGTCCATCAAGGAAGCCAGGGGTCGCAGTTTCGATCCACGGTGGAAGCACACTACTCTTTTTCCTGATACACGAGTAAAACAATAACATAATACGTACCACCATCCGCAAAATCTCGAGCGATACTCTTTTTTGGTCTTGTCAAAGGAACTTGATCAACCCAACCATAAACTGTCTCGAGTTGGTCGTCGTCCAACCCCGACGCAGAATCTGCCATACTCATTTTCCGTAATAATTAGTGTATGTCGAAATAATTCATTCAAAAGAGATGCTGAAAGCTAGGAATGAATGACGCACTGCATCAGAATCTGCAGACTCAGTGTCAAACAGTCAACGTCCTGTCAAACCGTTACGCTGGCACGTGTGATGACTGATGTTATAATCAATACGACATGCATTGTCAGTAGAGCGCTACCGAAGCCCTTCCTCTGATTACTTTTATGTTTCACACTTCTGAAATTAATGTTTCAGGATCACTTCTGAGAGAATGATGAAAAAGAATCAATTTACTCCTAAATAAAAATATTTTGTTGTTCTCAGCAACGAACAATCCCAGAATGCAAATGAAATTACTGTACTCGGGTAAATAACACTTCCGGTCAGATTATCATACGAACCAGATATTTATCCAAGATACTTTACCCGATTTCTTTTTTAAATCAGTTTAACATTCGACAAGATCGAACATTCCAACACTTTACAAATAGCACATTTTTCTCAAGATACACAAATGATTATTCAGTTTGCTTTATTATGATTTGGCAAACGGCGTATTTTTTTGTTATGGTACTCAGATTTATAACAACTAACGTGTGTAGGAGTTATTCCCCTTCGCTCATAAGGAAAGAAAGAAAAAAAATTGAAATTAAATATGACATAACCTATAAATCGGATTGTAGATAAGTGACACTTACGACCTTTAGACTGTAAACGAGTTTGATTTTGATAAAAGTATGCGATATGTTCAGATTAGCTCTACCGAGATTGATATAACTGGATCATGATTTAAAATCTCTTGAAATTTGGGAGGGGAAATGGCAGATGAATGTTCACGCCAAAGTGTTCCATCGAAAATATCTCTAGGAAGAAAAAAAAGTATCAAATATCAATATTCGTTACATGGTAAACTCTAGAAAATTTAGATTCTGAAAATTATCTAGGAGTCATCATCAACTCAGAACTAAATTGGAACAACCATATACAGTCCATCACCAACAAGGCTAACAAGACACTAGGTTTCTTAAGGCGCTAGCCATCATCTTGCACTATAAAAGTAAAATCAGTAACATATACAACACTAGTATATGGAAGGGGATCACCGCCATAATTATTTTTTATAGAATTAGTTACTTCTGGTTTTGAATCTAATTCTATGCACATTTGTATCATTTCCCTAGTTGATAAGTTATAGAATTAGTTACTTCTAGTTTTGAATCTAATTCTATGTACATTTGTATTATTTCCCTAGTTGATAAGTTATAGAATTAGTTACTTCTAGTTTTGAATCTAATTCTATGTACATTTGTATTATTTCCCTAGTTGATAAGTTATAGAATTAGTTACTTCTGGTATTGAATCTAATTCTATGTACATTTGTATTAATTCCCTAGTTAATAAGTGTCTTTTTCCATTCTATGTACATTTGTGGTGTTGCAATCGTTTACAAATCTATTGTGTGTTCATTCCATGCTATGCTAGTTTTCATTCCATGCTATGCTAGTTTTACCGATCGCGATTTCGTGTTAGCTTGTAGTATTCAATCCATTCCAGACTTTCTATCGAATGATCTGGGTTTCGTCATTTTTGTAAAAACAGAAATTCGAAACAAACTTTTAATTCAGAAATAGTTAGCTAGTCAGCTAGTAAACGAGTAAGCCAGCAGTTGAAATACGAGAGGTTTCCTCATTATGACGACAAGCTGCGCTGCGATCGTCATAATTATATACGCACCGCTCCCCAACCGCATCCGGATCACCGTACGGACGCAATGTCGTTATTTGTTTACGTTTTGACTATTGTATTTTTAAGGTTCTTATATTCATTACTGCATAAATTAAATATATGTTCAAGAACATATTAATGACGCCGTCAATATT